CCCGCCCACTGCCACTTGATTTTAGCGATTCTGCGGGCTATGTCAGTCACTCTGGTTCTCCTACGGATCTCCTCAGTTCTGATTGGATCACGCAGGGAAACTCCGAACATAGCACGCTCCATCGCCCTTTGGGTGACCTTGAGCCTTCTTAAGAGGCTCCTTAACCCCTCATGGTAAGCTAAATATAATTGTGACAAGAGTGGGTTTACCACAAGTCGAGCGGGCGGCGGGGATGATCAAACCTGCGTTCCTCGGATCACAAGTTGGCTACTTAGTTGCACCGTTTGGCTATTGTGGCTTCAAGTTTTATTGATTTGACTAAAGAAGAGTTTGCTTGCCACCACTGTTTAGTGCAAAAAAAGGCAAACTTAATGCCAATTATGGCATTCTTCACCGGTTAACCTTAGGGCCCAAATGAAATTAGAGTAAGTGGTGAACACAAAACATGTTTAAATTGAGTAATATTGTCTTGCTGGTTACTTATTTTAAATAAATCGAATAAACATACATATGAATAAATACAAAAATATATCACGAATCAAAATTTTTTATTAATTGAAGTTTAACTGGCGCCCAACGTGGTGCGTTTTTTTTTTATATCGTTATTAACCGAGAATAAATAAGTATTATGAAGCAATCGCAAATGAGTCACAACACTCACAACAGCGTTTAATTTATTTTTACTCACTTTAAGCTACTTTTTGAAATACTAAATCTAATCTTTACAGTCCGAAGTTAGGGGAATTGTTGTATCTTCTTTTCGGTGTTTTTGGGTAGGTATAGTTCTGTAACCAACTAACAAAATGGTCTGCAATTTTTTTTTCATTATTAATGATAGATAAGAGCTAACAAAAGCTATTTGTACCTGAGTTGAATAGAAAACGTTATTAATTTTTTACAAGTCTTATTGACTTTACTTCACTTTAGAAAAGGTATGTCGATATTAAGGGTCACCGGCGGCGGATATTAACGTGTAAGAGGCCGTTATTAAGGGAAATTGGCATACTCGGAAAAAAAAATCTAGGATTATCCAAAATTACAAAGGATTCGTAATTTTGCGAATGTAGTAATGAAGTTTCAATATTCCTCTACCCAAAAAGGGCACTGCAAGAAAGCAAAAGCTATTAACGTAAAAATTACGAGCAGTCAAAGTCCAAAAAAAGTTGACATGGCCGATATTTGGTGCCACCACCATAATACGAATATTAATCGAGGCAGTTCGGACGGTAATAAATTACTTAGTGTAACAAATGGCAATAATAGTTATCACTAAAATTATGATCATAAATTTAAAATATTCGCGTTACCAAATTATAAAAAATACAAAGGTCGCGGGTTCGATTCCCGGACAATGTCAAACATTTTGCGGGCACTCTGTTCGCATTGTTCTGCACGTTTCTATTTAATTTACGAAACATAAGTTTAATGTAATAATATAAAGTAAGTAATACCTAGTATTATAATTATCTGTGGTAATACTTAGGTAGTAAGTACTAGGATCCTAAGTAGGTATAAGTATGCTTTTTTTTTTTAAATTTATTGTTTGAATCCAACTTTCAATTGCATCATGTTATTGTTAAGTGTTGTAGGCAATATTATCTATCAATATTCATCAAAGAGGCATTCTCATGATGACGTGCTGTGTAAGCGCGTCGGCCGCGGCCGGCCGCCTGCGATCGTTTGCCTTCCGCGACTCGTACTGTGTCGAGTCCTCTATTTAGTATAGCCAACCAACTCCATCGAAGTCGAACAACATTCATTNCTCATGTATAAAAAATATTGTCTTCTGTAAAGTTGACTAAAAATCCGTTTAGTAGTTTTTACGTGAAGAGTATCAAACATCTATACTATTCCATACTCACAAATTTTCGCATTTATAATATTAGTAGGTAGGACACTAAAACTGCATAATTTTAAATAAATCATAATTAATTCTCAACAAATTAATTGCTCAGTGCATTCAACTAGCGGCCGCCCGCAACTTCGTACGAGTAGAGTCCGTTTTATCCCCTTATGTGTGGAATTTCTTAAAATCCTATTATATGCTTCGTATTATTTCCTATCAGTTCCTATCCTTAAATAAATAGATAAATAAAATCCGTTCTTGGCAGATGTCTACACCCTATAAGGAACCTACCTGCCAAATTTCAAGTTTCTACGTAGGTGTCAATACCGGCACCAACACCTTATTATTTTCGTTATCAATTATTATTATCAAACGTTTAGGTAGTAGGGCAAAAAAAGAATGAGACATGTATAGGCTCCTTAAGAGCATTTGACGATTTGTAAGTACTAATTTAATTAGTCTAAACAAATAAAGATAATTATGATTTTGATTTTATCAAAATGGTAATTATTATTTAACAAACGTTTAGGTATTCACTTAGTCAAGTAGGTACTTCAGTATTTTATAAATTTTAATTAGCTATGTTATAAATATACATGGCTTTTAAATCATGTTTGCCAGGGGGGACAACTCAGTCCCCAAATCATTGATTAAATATCCAGTCCGAGATTTTGGAACAGTCAGAAATATATTTTTTTCGTTAAATGTTAATTATTATTTGACATCCTACGTTTAGGTATTTAGTTTGGCAATATGGCATTTAGTCAGGTACTCCAGAACTTCTTAAATGTTACAAAAATATATGGCTTCTAAATACCCAATGTTTGCCAGGGGGGACAACAGTCCTCAAATCATTGATTGAAAATCTAGTCCTGTTGTCTCCCCTAGCCAGGGGGGACAACAGGATTTTGAAATCCTGTTGGCTCCCCCAGGGGGGCCAAGCAGGGGGGACAACAGGACTGCACCGAATCGATGCGTTATAGTAACGGCCACCTTAGAATACCTCGAGCTTTATGATAAACAAGAACTTGGAACATTTTTTTTAAATAATAAATAATAATAATATTAGCATGTAAATAAAAATTACTAATAATTCCGTTAACCCCTCTTTCGTTCGTTCGTTTCAGCCGAAAGACGTCCACTGCTGGTCAAAGGCCTACCTCAAGGATTTCCACAAAGACCGGTCCAGCTCGTGGTCGCCACTCAAGAACTTTCCTGCCCCAGCGGCCATCAGCTCTACAAGCTATGTGCCCCGCCCACTGCCACTTGATTTTAGCGATTCTGCGGACTATGTCAGTCACTCTCACTCTGGTTCTCCTACGGATCTCCTCATTTCTGATTCAATCACGCAGGGAAACTCCGAACATAGCACCCTCCATCGCCCTTTGGGTGACCTTGAGCCTTTTAAAAGAGGCCCATTGTAAGCTAAATATGATTGTGACAAGAGTGGGTTTACCACAAGTAGGTACACAAGTCGAGCGGGCGGCGGGGATGATCAAACCTGCGTTCCTCGGATCACGAGTTGGCTACTTAGTTGCACCGTTTGGCTATTATGGCTTCAAGTTATATTGATGTGACTAAAGAAGATCTTGCTTGCCACCACTGTTTAGTGCAAAAAATTCTTCACCGGTTAACCTTAGGGCCCAAATGAAATTGAAGTAGGTAGGTAAGTAAGTAAGTGGTGAACACAAACATGTTTAAATTGAGTAATATTGTCTTGCTGGTTACATATCTTAAATAAATAGAATAAACACGCATAATTATGAATAAATACATAAATTATATCACGAGTCAAAATAATTTATTAATCGAAGTTCAACTGGCGCCCAACGTGGTGCGTTATTTTTTATATCGATTTAACAAATAAGTACAATAAATAAGTATTATCAAGCAATCGCAAATGAGTCACAACAGCGTTTAATTTATTTTTCACTCTAAGCTACTTTTTGAGATACCTACATCTAATCTTTACAGTCCGAAGTTAGGGGAATTTTTGTAACTTCTTCATTTCGAAGTTAGGTAGGTATAGTTCTGTAACCTACTAACAAAATGGTCTGCAATTTTTTTTTTCATTATAATGATAGATATAAGTACTAAAAAAAAGCGATTTGTGCCTGAGTTGAAATAGAAAACGTTATTATTTTTTTACTTCTTATTGACTTTACTTCACTTTAGAAAAAGTATGCCGATATTTTAAGGGTCACAGGCGGCGGATAATAGTGTTAGAGGCCGATATTAAGGGAAATTAGCATACTAGGAAAAAACATCTTTATTATAAAAAATAACAAAGGATTCGTAATTTTGCGAATGTAGTAATGAAGTTTCAATATTCCTCTACCCAAAAAGGTCACTGGAAGAAAGCAAAAGCTATTAATGTAAAAATTACGAGCAGTCAAAGTCCAAAAAAAGTTGACATGGTCGATATTTGGTGCCACCACCCTAATACCAATATTAATCGAGGCAGTTCGGACGGTAATAAATTAGAGTAACAAATGGCTATAATAGTTATCATTAAAATTATGATCATAAACTTAAAATATTCGCGTTAACTACCAAATTATAAAAAATGCAAAGGTCGCGGGTTCGATTCCCGGACAATGACAAACATTTTGCGGACACTGTTCGCATTGTTCTGCACGTTTCTATTTAATTTACGAAACTTAGGTAGGTATAATAAATAAATAATAAATAAAACGTTTATTGCCAGTAAAACCAAATACATAAAGTCCTTATATCTAGCGGATACCGCACTAAGCAAAGCTTGTGTCGCAGTAACCTTTAATATTTGTTACACAAAATAATCATTACTAAGGGGTCTGGGAACATTCAGATCAGACAATTACTAACAGTTATATACAGAGTGTTATTAACCAGGTAAATAAAATTACTTACAATATTTTAATGCTACAATGTAAAAAATTAAATGTTATGTAAATAGGTAGGACTAGGATCCTAAGTAATATGCTTTTTTTTTAATTTATTGTTTGAATTCAACTTTCTGTATCATGAGTTATTGTTAAGTGAACTTAAGTGTAGGTAGTATTGTAGGCAATATTGTTGATCAAAGAGGCATTCTCATGATGACGTGCTGTGTAAGCACAGTATGATTTATCTACTGTGGTGTAAGCGCGTCGGCCGCGCGGTCGGCCGCCTGCGATCGTTTGCCTTCCGCGACTCGCGCTGTGTCGAGTCCTCGATTAGTAGCCAACCAACTCCGTCGAAGTCGAACAACATTCATTCAGTCGCCACGGGGAACGGTCGCCGCTAGCTCGTATCGAGCAACTTACGCGGGTTTTCAATGCATTGCCTTCAACCGTATACCAAATAATCTTATCCAGCATCGCCATTGGGCGATAACTTATCGTGTGCTATGACGCGACGGCACATTTTAAAGTTCCTGCAAGATAAGCGACGGTGGTGATTAAAATTTTATTGTGTTCGGCTGGAGAATGTGCTCGCGCTGACGTTCTCGCTATAGAAAAATCTAATACCGTTACGTAGTGCTCGATTGCAATGTCGCTGTTTAAGAAGAAGGCACCGAAGTACACGCCGCCTCCAGTGCCGCCGACTCCCACGGAGGAGTACCAGCAGCAGAACGGAGCTGACAACAACAATGGCACGCAGAAGTCACAGTTAGTGTTTCACTGTCAGCAAGCGCATGGAAGCCCACTGGGGCTCATCTCCGGCTTTTCCAATGTCAAAGAGTTGTATCAAAAGATTGCAGAATGCTACGATTTTCCTGCAGAAGATGTAAGTACAAACGTATTCAATCGAATTAAGTTGTAATTAAGTCGAGTTAACAAAAACAACTAAGTAAGCTCAGTGAACCAGTTTTTCCAGAAAAGGGAGGGATCTTTTATAGCTATGCTTGAAGCTGCAAACCGATTGCAAGTGACTAATAAGTTATTAATTAGCGGTTTACCTCATTGTAAGCATACTTAAGTTATAAACTTGAATAAATACTTATAGCCACATTATTTTGTTTTGTACCCCGGCCTACTGCTCCGAACACTAGTAAAAAATAAGTAAATCGCTTAAAAACATCAACGAATTACAAATAGAGTCATTTTTGACATCATTTTGCGAGTGAAGATAAGTATAGTTTTATAAGTTACTAAATTGGTGTCACCCTACTTTTTGCGTGACACTCGGGACAATAATAAAGTAATTTATTTATGTATAATATAAGGATTTCATTAAATGTAGGTATCTAGGCTATTTGCGAAGAGAAGAGACAACACTCATGCATGATGCACACAATCATACCACTTAGAAATGTTCTGGTTTCATCAAAATCGATTCTAAAGTTTTTACCTGACTGCCAAAAGAAGGATTAATGTTCAGTATCTGTCGATTTACTTATTCAGTGTATTACTATAAAATACGAGTACCTAATAATATTAGGTTATGTGTATTCCTGAGTCCTGACAATAGAGATGTACCTACTCTTAGGTACATTTTTTTCTATGGCCGCATTTATAACAAAAATACTTAATAGGTAAGTAGACTAACAAAGTTTTACTATAAATTCAGGACATTCCTAAATTGCCAGGTTTCGATCGTCCTTATAATAATTGTAAAATTAAATAAGCAGTATGATTTATTTATTATGGTTTAACAGCAGCTTTACTGGTTGGCGGTAACAGCGCGAGCGATAAGAAAACATATTCAAGTAGTAGGTACATTAATTGCGTCACTGCTATATTAGCACTAATTAAAACGCTGAACAATAAAATTTGTACTCTTGATAACCAGGCTGTGGTACGATAGGGTATTATTTGTGTTGAACAGAGAATACTGAACCTAATACGAACCAAACAAAATTAAATAGTCCTAACTAACTAAAAGTACCTACTGTATTTAACGTAGTTAGGTAATTATTAATTATTTAACTTAGGTACCTACCATTAATTAGTTACAAATTCATTTAGAATGAAAAAGATTTCGATTAAATAAAGCATTTAGATTAACTAATTTATTATTTAATAAATTCCTAAATAATTACAGAGGGCATCCCAAAATGTAGAGGTGTTTTTCCTTTGAACACTCATTTTACGTAGCTACTAGGCATACTAACGAATAGATACTAACAATAATGAACCAACTTACAGGTTCCTTTTTAAGTAGTTATAGGACAGGACGTGGGAACAGGGGGCATGGTCTGGTCATTGCTCTTCAACCCGCATCTTTAGAAACTGAGGGTACTTTACTACCTACTTCTTAAGTAGCTAGTTAGAAAGACTGATTCTGGTATAAATAGTTTTTTTTAACTGTTACCAAAGTTAATAAATAAGTAGGTAGGTAAGTAGCATTTAAATCGTCATTGTTATTGTGTTCCTGATTTTGATGCACTTATTTCGGAATACGAAATAGGGTGGATGCACCAGTCTCAAACCAATTAAGGCTTCTGTAGGTAATAGAGTAACTTATTATTAGTAACTTATTATTCGTCGTACTTATTATTAGAATAACGAAGCTGGTAACATCAACATTATGTAGGCAAGTATTTTTTCTTTACTTTAAATGTAAACGTTTCGCGTTGTAACAACTAGTAACCTACCTAATTTACTCGTGACACATGCTTGGAAGTCGAACAACTCAGGGAGAAACCATTGGTGAAATCACTTCGGCATAATTAGTTATAGCTGTGCAGTCTACCAGTGTGTAGGTACCTACTTTGTGCGTGGATGATAGACACCACCAACTATGCTACTTACTTAGTTTACTACATAGAAAGTAGGTAGATAAGTAGGTTTAAAATATGGATAAAAATCAGTCTATCGTTTTCCGTAAACGTAAAAGCTTATTTATTAGGTAGAAGTTAACTATGATAACTATGTAGGTATTCTGTGGTAGAAGTAGAGTTATAGGTAAGGACAGTTCATAGTTTTTTAATACTTAAATAATATATTTTACAGTGACAGATAAGGAGAGGCTTTCTCACATTAACTAGGTTTTGTTGCAGCTTACACAAGAAATATTTATTTCGCGAGCTTAACTGATAGGACTTTTTTTAAAAAATAAGTTGCAAAGAGCTCCTTTGCGAGTTGTAGTCAGCAAGTAGGTATTATCCTCAAGATGATTCAATAATGAATCATGCGCATCGAAAAAATACCATTGAATAAATCTTGTTTATGACGTTGAACAATAACACCACGCTACGTAATGCCTTAGGCATGCATGTAGGCACAGTAGTGACGACAAGGTCTTGATGTTGATAGGAAAATTGATTATGTGTACCTAAATAATAATGACTTCAGTTAGATAATAGGCTCGTAAAACTGTAATTAGGTAAGGTAGGTAGTTATGTAAGTACAGTATGTTAGTTAATTAATTAAATCAAACGCCGAAGTAATACAATATTATGTTACTACTTACTTAATTATCTTTCATTTCTGAGTTCGGTCAATGTGTAGATGTCACTTAATCAACTTATAAGTTATAATCCATTTATCAATTGTTTGAAAACCCCGCGATCACTAACTTAAAAATGTCGCGAATTACCTATTTAATAAAATGTGACGTTCTTGTCGACTGCACATCCACCCTACTTTTTCAAACTAGGTGTGGGCGAGTGTTCACCCTTTTTCTATTGAAGTCCCTTCTAAAAATAGTACCTACCGCAAGAAGCGTTTCCAATCTTACATCTGTCATTATTTTAGTGCGTTCGTACCTATTTATACCTTTTGTGTGTACAGGGTGTTTCTTCTAGTTACGTAACGTGTTAACCGCTGTAATCTACTTTAAATTCACAGCCTAAAATAGGTGTACCTAGGTATTTAACCATCGATGTGGCTAGGTAGGTAATTAGTAAATAATGAAAACAGTATCAAGCAGGATGCACATTAATTATCAGATTTTGATTTGTATAATTAGGTTAATGGATAAATTTATTTTTGTGAATCAATCTTTTCGCCATTAACAATTTCAGTTTCGAGAAGAAAATATTGAAAATCGGAATCTTGATAAGCAATTATTAATTATTAAAGTGTATTTATTATTATTTATTATTATTAATATCTCGCTCAATGATAGGTAGATAAAAATTGTGAAATCGGTACTTAGGCATTTACTTAGGTACTTACTGAATTATTAAGTTACAGTAGGTATAGGTACCTACTATGTATAATTAAAATGTCAGCTCAATGTAAGCTGCACCCTGCCGAGAGCAAATTAATGTAAAAAGTATTCCGTGGAAATGTCATTGTTCAGAAGTCTACAGCTAGACGACGCAATCGCGATGCTCCAAAAAATATTCAGTTTCACCAGATGACGTAGTGTTTCTACATCGACGTGAGTGATACACTGTTTAGCGAGGCAGGCCGGAGCTAACAAGCGACATGGCGATATTCACAAGGTAGCCTTGAAAGTAGACGCGCCTCAGTATTTTCACAGCCGTGAAATATCAAAAGCTGTGTGGTCGTGCCATTTTCGCCGCAACCTTTCTACGACCGTCACCGGTCGTTGGTTGAGCGAGATTTTCAGGGACGCTCATTGTTTAGATTTTGATAACGAAATGTCCTATTATCTAAGTACTTACTATTCACGTGCCTGCGTAACAGTTACAAAAATTAGTAAGTTTACTCACATATCATGTGGTTTAGGTAGGTACCTAATTGGTAATACAAATTTTATTATCCGTTAAACGCTTTCATTTAGTACTATTTAGGTCTATAGTACACACACACACAGACAAGTGTTACAAGTGCTAAGTTATTTTTATAACTTACCTACATCCTATAGAAAATCTTCACGTGCGTTCTCTAACACCCAGCCTAATCAAATCGCAGCTGCGCAGCCCACAGTTAATGCTGATGCTATGGCCGCTCTTATTTTTTTAGCCGAGTTGTTTAGGACTTAGGCTCTGACTGTTACAATGTTGTTTTTTAGAAAATTAATAGAGAGTTTTACCAAAAAATAAAACTTACCTATTATTTTTTNGCGAGGGCTATCTGTAACAGTTCGTTCGTTTCAGCCGAATGACGTCCACTGCTGGACAAAGGCCTCCTCCAAGGTTTTCCACAATGAACGGTCCTGCGCTGCCCGCATCCAAGCTCTTCCCGCGACCTTCACCAGATCGTCGGTCCACCTAGTAGGAGGCCTGCCCACGCTACGTCTTCCAGCCCGTGGTCGCCACTCTAGAACTCTTCTGCTTCAACAGGTAGGTACTTACCTATACATAATGATGGAAAACTTTCATGTAAATAAAAAACAAGTAAGTAGAGGTGGTACTTAGAGGAGAAACGTAAAGCAAAGCAATTTTTTAGTCTCTATGAAAGGATAAATTAGGTCTTAGTCTTTATAGGTATTCCATGACCACACTCCACAATTTTACATCAGTGATAAAGGATACTAGTCACATAGGCAATTATTAATCGAACCTGGTAGGTAAGTACTGTGCTGGCACAATTACCCTTCTTATGGCGTTTATGTGTGGACATCGAGATATAATTTACAGTGGCAAAGGTAGCAGTGCCTTACTTATTTTCTCGTGTTCAGGTAAATAATTTTGTAAGGTACGTTTATGTAAACTCGCCTATTAGGTATATTATGATCCGTATTCAGTTAAATCGTAACACGACACGAGAGGGATTATTCCGTATTCGACCCATGACAACTCAACCCATTTCTTCACTCATCCCAAATTAGTATTCCTAGCTCAACCCATTACATAATTTCGTTATTCTACCCAAATGCATTCCTTACTCAACCCAAAGTAAATATACCAAAAATAAGTATGGATAGCAAAACAACTTTTACTTTATTTTGAGAAATTTAATAATGATAAATACATACCAGTTGGTACATTTATTTATAATTAAATAAAAAATAATAAAAAACATCACCTACATGAAAAAATTATATGAGTATGTTGATTAACTAAAATATATCAAAGATTTAATTTTATTTTAAATTCATAAACAAATTAAGAGGTTCAAAACTTATACTGCGGGATTAGTTGTCCACATGAATACTTTATTATTTTTCTTTTGTCATCTCATACCGCTTGAAAAAAAATACATTGTATTATTTGAAATATTTGTACATTCATGAACAAGTGTCTGGGGAAAAAATTATACGCCATAGCTTGGTTATACTGATTTAATAAAAATCACAGTCGTTTGATTTATAGTAGATTTATAGTGGATTTATAGTAGTAGAATCTACTTTGCCATTATTTGATTTGTGTCCTTTTGTGACAAACGTTTTTCAAATATATTATTGTATCAGAACTCCTGCAGTTTTATTTAATAGAATGATCTTAACACAAAAGTTAACTGAGCTTAAATTTCTAAAAAATATATTTTTATTCTGACCGTACATAAAAATCTTATATTTTTTAAGTGGTTTTAAAATGGGTTGAGCTAGGAATGTTTTTGGGGTGAATAAGGAACATAAAATTAAAAATTGGTTGTGGGTAGAGTAAGGAACAAAATTGGGTTGAGTAAGGAAAAAATAATGAGTGGGTTGAGTTGTCGTGGGTCGAATACGGAATAACCCCACGAGAGGTTAGTAGGTAGGTATGATACCTACCTACTAAGCTACTGTATGATAATATCTACAATTTGTTATGAATGCTGACGTGCGTGACGCTATGATGAGTCGAGTGTAAATAAACGTGAGTTGCTATCTAGCGTGGTCCCGATTCCTCGTTTTATTATAAAACTGAACTTATTTTTGCACGGAAGTGTCATTCGAAAAATCTCCATTGGCTAGCTTTTATAGCAACTTGTAAAGCAAACTAGATTTTGCCCGCGGCTTCGCCCGTATGAAATTCCGATTTGTCACATAAAGACCGACTTGACACTTTTCGGTGTGATTTGGCCAATTATTACAGCCTAGTAAACAATACTACCTGTAGTGTCATCAAAATCGGTTCAGTAGTTTTTCCGTAAACGAGTAACAAACTGGACAATTGAACGTGATGTGTAGTCACTCTTTTACTTATTAATTTGACCGTTTTTGGTGTAATTGCTTTGGTAACTATAAAATCGGCTATAGTTAGTGCAAAGCAAATTCAGAATCGCACCCCTTATATCACGGCTAATTACTTACTATACAAACTATAAAACATTAATTACCATAGTTGCTGACTGATAAATATTCTAACACTACTTGATATCAGCAGTGTATTATACACCTACCTATCAACAATTATTTTCATTTCAAATTGGCACTACGCCCAAAATAATGTTTACGCCAAGAAACGTGACCAAATTTATTAGTTAACGCCGAACACTCGACTTTATATCACATGTAGGACAAAAACGCCGATCTATTTCTGCTGGATCAGTCATTCGAGTTATTTGCAGAAAAGCAGATTAACTATGAAATCTTATTATTGGAATTGTTCACTTCACGTGAAATGCGTGTGTATGTGTTGTGTGTGAATAGAGCTAGATCTCACAAAATAAAACAACTTGTACATATAAAAATATTTTATTAAAAACATTTTGGTAACATTTAATAAGAACACTTAGGTAAAAATAAATCGACCTCAAAATCATTTTAAAAGAACAGCCTGGACTGGAAGTTCACGGAGGAAGCCGGAACAGCAAAAACTAAAATAAATAAAAACAATGATAACATTCTAGTCAGAGACATGTCTAATTGACAACCAGAATTAAGGCATCGCAAGAATAATTATTTAAGTACGATAAAATACCTACGGCTATTATTATAATTACAACAAATAAACGCCTAGTGTCTATCTTTCAGTTGCGACTGCGCGCTGCGCCGGCGCGGCCCAGTAGGGCGCGCGAGTATTATTGCCACTTCGTACACTCACGACACTTGCTTGCCACTACGCCGTAATTATACACTACTAAATACTAAAACATTCCAATTATACGAAGCTATGTTAAAATTTTACCTAACTAATAATAATATTAACATCTTCGGCTAATTTTGATACTAGAATGATATAAACATCATCTCATATTGTACTCTTAACATTACGCTGGATTAAATTATAAGTGAGGAATTAAATACATAATATTGCAAGCATTACTGAGATTGTGCACTACGTGTTTTCGTTAAACGTAACAATTGAAAACTTAAAGTTAAAAGGAAGATTGCTTATATTGAAGTTGACAAGTGTGGTCCGGCTGCGCCGGGTAATACATTCAGCTACGATAAAGGAACAGTCATAGATTAAATTACGAGCATTGGCACTTTCAATATTAAACCTTAATTACACTCTCGAAATAGCACTGCATATCAATAACCAACTTAAAAACTAAATTCAGATCAGTCATTTATGATATCACATCAAAATAAACAGGGAAATACATAATATGTGATTATCGATTGGATATACTATATCATATATATTATATTCTTTTCAAAAGAGGTATTAATTTTCTTAAGGGTTACTAAAAATATTGAGCTCTGCGCCGCGTGCGACGCACTATATCACGATAATACGAGAACAACATTGAACCAATAAGTTTTGGTACTTGGAGTTCATCTCCGAGTTAATCTATTTCGCTAAACCTACATAATGCTTATCAGATATACGTAATGCTGGCGGGCGCGTTGGCGATGGGCGCGCGCCCGTCGCCTATCCAAAAACCCTTCATACAATTTTCATTATAAAAATACTGTCATTTGACTACAGTTCATGAGAAAAAAATATTTACTCGTATGTGAATGAACAATAGATATAATACAACACATCGATAATATCATGTAAAATGATTTGACTAAATAAAAAAAAATGCATAAAATTGAAATGATTAAAACATTGTAAAATCACTTGAAGACACAGTAATGGAAGGTACTAAATTGATATTTTAGATGATTTTTGTTAAATAAATAATAGCACAACAACCAAAATATTTGGCAATGTGGATTAAATAAACATTAACAACTACTACCCTTGGCGGCTAACTTATACACGAAACTGGAATGCAAATATTGCATCGCACCTCGGCCTCAGTTGCGGGCGGCGGGCGGCGGGCGGCGACGGGCCGTCGCGCTGCGCCTGCGCAGGCACTCACAACACTAACTAACCTGTGCGTATCGCTCCCAATACTTTCCTTTGAACTACATTCGATTGAAGCTTGTATTAAAAACTAAAAATAATGAATGCAACATTTGATTTTAAAATAACCAATAACAACCATTTTGTGAGTATGTGTGACTGAGGATATAGCACACTAGGCAACGGAAGGCGCATCCAAATCAATTAAATTATTATTCGCAAAGCTCTTCGGATGTGCCTTCCAAGAGGGCATTTGTATTACTTTCAGCTGCATTCTGAGATCCATGCTATATGTTCAGTCATGACCCACTGAATCATAAATAAATACATAAATAGATTTGTATATTATGTTATTATTACAACTACTTCATACGATTTATGTTCATAGCCCAGTAAATTGATTATTATATAGACAAAAAGAGATACCTATATGTAAGCGTGTAGTGATGACTCAGGATAAAGCAGCTGATAAATAAATAATGTCGTAAAATTTGGATAAGATAACTGCTTTCGATGTAAATTTTGATATTATAAATAAATAAAACTTAAACAAAATAAACACTGCATGGATTGCCATGGATGTTGGTCCCTTCCAAAATATTTGCCAAACCTCTAAGCAAACTCCATATCAATTAATATGTAAATGAAATTTTGAAAACTACATACTGTATTGTCTCATATCAACATTTTTTATAAAAATAACTTTGTGGGGAATATGTCAACATTATTGTGTACAAATACTCCAGTTCCAATTTAAAGCTGATCACAACATAGCAGAACTAAAGTCGCACAAAAGGACAGTATCAATAATTATTATTCATTATAGTTAGTTAGTATGTTATACATTACTTACACATAATTGAAAGAGACTCACACTATTAAATATCTTGACTAAATTAAGAGACCACAAATATTACATTTTATATATGCACATACATAGAGATATTGCCAGTCTGTTAACGACACTTAATATAATTTCACTAGAAGCCCAGCATCTGGGCGTATCAATGACTCAAACGATTTAAAACTGTCTGTAACAACTACTAATACCTTAGAATATCTAATCACTGCATTAATTTGTGATGATATGCACTGATAACCCACTTTGACTATGTTCTGCATGGGCTCGTCGTAATTATGAGTTGTTCAAGCTTTCTCATCAAGTCGCTACGAAGTTGATTTAGGGCTGTGTCAAGATCGTTATCCGCTAGTTTAATATGTCATCACTATTATTATGTAATGATCGGACGGTACATCCAACAATCATAATTATACCTTAAAATTAACCTACAGCTTGGCTTTTAAATTCGTGCCTATCTCGTCAAAATCGTTAATTTAAATTACATCCGAGAAGCAGCCTTTTGGTTTAAACAATGACGATCCTATTGATAAATGACTGTGGAATATATCTAAATCATTACTTCTAGAGACTAAAGAGAATAAAAAACAATATTTAAACAATAACTATTACATGTAATGGTGGGACTCAATAACACATTATGATAAAAGTAAATGTCCATAATTTAAATATTGCTTTAAGAATAACTGGACACAAAACCTTACTGGTTGTACATTTTCAACCATTAATTTTTATACTAATCATTATAAATTGCGTAATTAAACAATTTATAGTTAATATAATATGCACATTAAACAATTATATTCTTTGGATAACAAATTATCAACACGTCTAAGAGGAACTAAGTGTGGCACAATAAATATTTTTAATTTTATCTGCCTTTGCTATAGCTATGAAATGTAGGAGTGTCACAAATTTTGATCATACCAATTTCGTCTTTGCAAACAATTTTTAGAATAGTAGGACCTAGAAATGCTGATTTGGAATTAGTCTGCAAAATGTATGGCATTGCAAGTATTAATTAAGCCTAACATTATCACACAATTAAATAAGTTAAAAACAAAAAACGAAGTCACGTATCGTCGCGCCTAACATTCACAGAATTTGTCAAAAATTGCCATGTTTAAATTAAGATCACAGTATTAAGTCACGTTTAAAAAATGTAACTCTACGAATGCGCGAGACGATAACAAATACAATATTCCACAGTCATCTGCAGGACATAGGCCACAACAGGGAAGCATTTCAATCAAAATATAGGAAAATGTCACCAAGCCTTTGACTTCAGTTCAAAAGGAACTATAAATAAGCATTTGCTCATCAAATTATTACAGTTCATTATCACATAAATACCAATCATCTTAAGATAAATTAGTAAAAAATATGTCTAAAACAGCAAACCATATCGTGAGCAAATTCATAATAAAATTGTTTTGTAAAAATTCCCTGCCATCTAGATTTCAAAATGGCAGGTCGTCATAAATTCATTTAAAAATAATATCGCTGAACTAGAGTCATTGGCTAACAAACTAAATGATGGTGAAACGATCACCCAGTGACGTTAGAGAAGTTGATATGCGCCCTAATGTGTCCCAGTCATACCCGCTCAACATTTGTTTGTTCTGAATTTATGCTGTCTCACAGTCACGTCAATCCGTGGCAGCGACAACCCAAGAGAAGCCACAAAGGCGACAGGTATCTTTTACATACTGTGTGCGAGTTCCGTAGGGTCCGAGGCGGTGGTACTGCGAGCGGTTGGCGAAGAACAGCGCAGGGTTGTTGGGGGGCAGCACCGTAGCTCGGTAGTTCCACCGCGGGTCAGTGATGTTAGCATACAGGTCAAGGATGTCACGACCTTGGTACATAATCTTGACATCTTCATTTTTTTCCTTCGGACGTGGCTGCACCACAGGTTCAAATATTTTCTGTAATGAACATAAGTAATATAAGACAATATGTAGGTAGCAAAACAAAAAACTGCTAAGATAAGCAAGTCATTCATTACAATTTTGTAAGTTATTGGATACCAAATACTGATAGCTGTGATATTAGGTTCAATTTTGCATGGGTTGGGATTTTATAGCCTTGCCCATATTATTATCTGTATTGAAGAACAAAAAATCAAAACCGAATTATAGATCTCAACTCTGTTTATTGGTTATGTGTGAACATTATCGAGTGATAAATGAGAAATATTGATAGCGAGGTGTAGGTATTCGCCATTATGGATTATTATGAAAATAGAGAGGTCAAGGCCAGGACGAACGCAAACAAATAGTGCAAATTTTCCAACATACCTTCTCTGTAGTCTGAGGACTAGACGGCAGGGAGTCACTGTTGACCGACTCCGACTTGAGCGACCCCAGCGAGCCGATACCGCTAGATTCACTGGACACTGACGGACTCGGGCTCGTCTGAGACTGAGATAGGCCCGCTATTTCTATGATATGCCCGAATGAGTTGAATGAATTGAAATTCTCCGTCTCCAAACCTCCCAGAGGTAGTGCAACGCTCAATGCCATGTCTGCAATCGGAATGTAAATACTATAATACAATTACACGTGCAAAAAGGCCACTGCGTGAGAACACTGTATAAAATATGTTGACAGAATTGAACGCGCCAAACAGGTACCGTATTCTTGTCACAACACAAGCCATTTATCGTAACACTCACCTAAGACTAGAATCGCAATCGAAAAATGCAATATCACGCGGTAGGCAATGAGTAAAACAATAATTACCGAAAAGTGTAATCCCCAAAAAGCACAAGCCTCGACGTAGTTGAAAAAGATCGAACATTTATAAAGTGAAGTTAGCTACAATCATGGATTTGCGTGTGCGTGATGTCGTCGAGCGCCAACCGGAAATGGAGAGGTCGGTAAAGCAGTCTACTACGCAGTTGCGCTCAACAAATGATTATTAAGATTGAAATATTGAGCCTTATTTGAGTAATCATAAAATTTATTATCATTGTTAAAATTATTAACAATTTGCTAAATTAATATTTTGATGACTAAATAACAAAATGCGGTTTTAGAGTTAAAAGTAGCTCAAGTAGTAGCCATCTGAGCGACATCTAGTGGCGAGTGGTAGCATTTCAACTTACGATCGCCTCACCTGCTCGCATTGGCTTTCAGTTCACAAATATAGATGGCGCACCTTGGAAAGTTAGTTTTGTGTCGCGCCATAGATGTCGCTTTCCTTTGACTTCTAGTTTTATATGGTGTGTATAGATGGCGCTATTTTTTGAAATAGTGTCCAAAAATAAAGGTTTAAGGTTTAAGTAGTTTTAATGGATTATTATTAATGTAATTAAAAACTTGTATCATTAAATGTAATACCCCGTTACAGAACGGGACTATTCCCACCTCTCGTTCCCACCACTGCAACTCCTGTGTAGCCAGGATCTACAGCTTGACCGCCACAAAAACCCAACCAATGAAGGTCAAGTTTGTCCCGGGGGAAAGTTAAACTGTCATTGGACCCGCAACGAAATTAATCAGAATAACATAGGAGGAGTTCGAAATTAAGGTTCGACTTCCCTCCATTGCAAAGCGGATGACAGGTGACAAACAAAGGTTTAAAACCTTTAAGAAAAGATTATGCACCACGGACAATAAATTAAATTAAGGGGGCCTATCTTATGAGCAATTAGCAACTACCTGCCAATAATATTTTTCACAAAATCGCTTAAAAGCACGGAAATTTTTCCTTGTCGCGACAAGATCGGTGTAATAAATTGCGGAAACAGATGTATGTTGTATTGAATTAAGCATTATATTATCACGTTCATGTTTCCCGTTACAGAAGAGAGGATGTTTTGTAAAGGACGTTTATAATTTGTTAATGTAGGTAATACCTACTCGTAATTTTGCTAACCTCGTAGGTACGTAGTACGTCTTATGTACGTAGTTACTTACTTATTAGGTTTATACTACTTAGAGGTAAGTAAACATACCTAGTTGCTTGTCCAAATAAAAAAAAATCCTACTAAAATCTACTATCTCATTAAAATTGTAAGGATGTAATAATTATGTATGAAATATCAAAATAATTTAGGTAAGTAGGTAGCATCAAAGGGTTACAAAGTTAATAGCTTACTAACGAACGATCTAGGCATTTATTTATTGTTTAAAAGCAAAATTAAATAATAAGGTGGATATAACATTTTCCGGTTATAAATTAGAAATTATTTTATATTCCAACTATTTTATAGGTATAGGTTGATTTGATAAGTAGGTACATTATATTATTTTGCATATAAAGGCAAACTTTATTGGTATTCAAGATTTACATATTTATATTTAAAAAAATATAAAATAAATAGTTTATTCATGGAAATAGGAGCGCTCGAGCGTTACAAGTTTTTTGTAGGTAGGTAAACAAGTACCTACTCTCGATAAATTACTACATTTAAATGCCTTAATCAAAGTATGACCACAGAATAATAATAAGTACTGTATGACTCGATTCTTACATGCATTACTTATACAAAGACAATTCATTTTATTGAACAGTAATCAGAACCTTAAAAATCCCAATCATATGTAGATAAATTCGGCATTATTACAGACAGATGGATTTAATAAACACCTCTCAAATGGTAACGAAAATGGTGGTCTATAAGTTCATCATCATCATCATCATTTCAGCCACATGACGTCCACTGCTGAATTAAGTATGTCCTTCCTTAATGATTTCTAGATTAGCCTGCATCGAGTGCCTTCCTACTATCCAAGAGGTCGTCTGTCCAACTTGTCTTGGACATCCTACGCTGCGCTTGTTGGTACGTGGCCTCTATTCCAGAACGTCCTCCATCGACCATAATTTTTATGAATAAACTACATTTATTAATAAGAATAAATTAATTTATTACTTAACAAAACTTAGCCTAGATACGTTTGGATTCACTTACTTAAATTAAGGTTAGTGTGCGAATGTAAAATTATATTAATACCTAAACTAAGCAAAATTGTTTGCCTGTGTCTTAGGTACTTAGATACATAAATAGAACGTCTAAAATTAACAAAT